CATGACGTCATTGTTTAACATGACGTCACCTTTAACATGACATCAATTGTAACATGATGTCAATTTTGTAGCTCATGTAAATCAATAGATCGTTTTCTCAAGGTTGCGTGCGCATCCAACTTGACGGGCCACAAAAATGAAAAACGCAAATTCAGTAAAATTGAGAAGCCAGTTTTATATTTAAAGTGGAGAATAATCGATTTTATGAATTCTTATCGAAAAGAAATTCATAGAGATGTATGATAATTCTCATTATAAAGCTCGTGTTCTGGTATCGTGGCCCGTCAAGTTTCTTAAATTTGGATGCGCACGCAATCTTGAGAAAACAGTCTATAAGCTTTTATCATACAGTCWTTGCTCCAGATTCCATCGCACATTATTATCTTTGTTATTTTTCCTCAGAAAAAACCTTYGAGGCGAAGAAAAAGTAAACAATTCAAAATAAAGCAAGTTGGAAGCCAAGATTGATCTTTTATGTGGATATTTATTACTGAGGCAAGAAGAAAGAAAACCACAGCCAGCCCAACACMGACTGCGGACTGTATATTTTGTATTTATATAACTCGTGTGTGCTGAGCAGGACCTTTACTTGGCTGGTTGATCGGTTGGGAAGGCGGGTATGTTAAAGGGGCGAGATATAGTATGTGACTAATTGAGTGCTTGAATTACTTTGCAAAAGTAGTTTAATTTGGGGCAAGCTAAATTTGATTTGGTCACCCTGTGTTTTGCCATGGGCATGGTTTCTATAGTAACCAGGCCAGGCATTTAATGCTCAAGAGCTCTCAAATGCCTCGGTAGGGTGACCAAAATGAGTCTTAACTTACCCCGTAAATGGAACTTAAAATACTGGGTCGAGTTGAATTTGCAATGTATTTTGAGACTGTTTTAGGGGTAGAAATAGACGCCATCTTGAAAACATGTATTCTACTGAAACAGTTGTGCAATGCMCTTCTATGCCAACAGGATCCAGTTTTGTTAGCAATTGATCTTGGCCTTAGAAAGCAGGGATATGAATTAGATAGATGACAATTTTCATAAAAAGAAAAAAAAAAGGTTTACGCTAGCTGGTATAAAACAATATTAAATTGAAAATCCATTTCACACAAATAGATTCGTTAACTTATAAATCAATCATTCTTTCATCGCTGAAGGAATTACCGACGTTTTAGTTAATGCTCCCTTTTTACTAAACTGCTAAAAACCTAGGGCTCAGAAGAATTACAAACTTTTGGGGAGGGGTGGGTGGATAAATTGCTCTTAGTTTTGTAAGAGTTAAGCTACCACGTGACTCTTGTGGGCGTTACCATGGTTACTTAAAATCATTTCCCGCCACAAGTTAAAATGAAATTTCTGTATGTATGTATGTTTCGTTATGCTGCTATGAACATTTTATAAACGCAGAAGAGTTTTTTTTACTAGAAAATTTGCAGGTTTTGAAATTAGATTTTAATAATACTACTTTTAGATATAAAGATGTAGATTGTAAATAGGCAGAAATAAGATAGAAATAAATGAATAAGACAAAGCATTAAAGAGTGTTTGCTGGGGTTTTATTCATTCATTYATTCATTCATTCATTCATTTATCATTCATTCATTCATACATTCATTCATTCACTCATTCATTTATTTATTCATTCATTCATTCATTCATTCATTCATACATTTATTCATTCATTCATGCATTTGCTGTTATTTCAGGGACATATTCAGTAGTGTACTGGGGTGTCTGTATATAGCCTTCTTTTCGCTGGCGTTCCTTCTTTTTTTCTTTTTACATGCATGTATTTTGGGAGGGATGATGTGCTGTGGTTAATGGGAATGACTCCGTCGTGGGAAAACGTCGAAACAGTCTTAATAAATCGCTTGGACCATCTGTGTGGTTGTACACAGATTAAATGCTAAGTCAATTAATGCTGTTTTTTTAATCTCACCGCAGGTATAAAACTCTAAGTAAGAAAGGAAATTTGATAATCATTTTAGTCACTGCATAAGGAATATAATGTTCCGCCGGCGCCTATTTCCATTCTTCATAATTCTTTAAACCACAGGGAACCCAATTATTCCGTTCAAAATCAAATTAAATATTAATAGCGTGGGCTTCCTGTGTGAATGGTGTAAACATACCGCCTGCGGTGGAGGCGGGAAAGAACGTGCAAAAGGTGCTGAAGGCAGCTGTAAAGGAAAAAATACGAGAAAGTGAGAAACAATTCGCGCATGCAATGTGCCTTGAATAAAGAAGCTCTGAGACTTGAGGAAAGGTATCTTATCTAAAACAAACAATTATTTTTTCGGGCCGGAGAAATTCAGCATCTAAAATTACTTTTAAAGATGCTGTCATGCTGAAGCGCATTCAAAATTACAAGGAAAGACTGAACAATCCAACGTGGATTCAATAGCAATCAAGGGTGACAACCATAGAAATGGCCACAAATGAGAGAGTAACAAAAAAATAATAATAAAAAAATCGTGTGACACACACACCAAAGCAAGTGCCAACACGTATGGCTATCACATGAATTCCAACGGCTTCGCAAGATTCGCCTATAAATTGCTGCAACGGTTTCTCTTTCTTTCTCATTGATCCTTGTTGTTGGAATAGAAGAAAACTCGCGCACGAGAGATACCAACCTTGAATCTTCGTAACTTTGTAAAAGCGTTCGCGTTCGCCACCTTGAGGTGAGTTTTGAAAAGAGCTTATAAAAGAAACAGGCTTGTAAATGTTAAAACAAGTATTTATTTGCCTCAGCTTACTTACCTAGGTTCTTTCCTTATGCTTTCTTGTCAATTTAGAGCGACATGTTGTACAATTTCTTTGGCTGTTTTCTACTTCGCGACCTTTGAACTAGTACCTTCGACATGTACAACCGCAAAAAAAACAAAAACAAAAAAAAAACCGTTGAGAATTGGCCCACAATTCACACGTGTCCGGTGGATTTTTTCTATGCGCTTATAAATACAGTCTCATGTGGACGCTCGAATCCTTAACGAAAGTTTTTCGGGATCATTATATTTTAGTTGGATTGAACTTGAATTTTAAGATATTTCAAACGTCATACTTAGACGTGCATGCAAATTCCCCATCTGTTCATCCAATCAATGCTATGTGCCAAAATGCACGTTTGCTTAGCTCGTTTCTTATGAGAACCTGTTCCAACTGATAGAAGTCATAAGGAATACATTAAGAAGGTTTTGAGTGTGATAAATCAAAATTTTCCTCGACTTTTTATATCAATGGTAAAATTTCAAGTTAAGATAATAAAAAATTGACAGGAAAAAAAMCCACGGTTATTAGTTCAGTGCATAGTTGATTTTTAAAAGAAAAAATACATGGTTATTCTCGGCAGCTTCTGTTTTCGTTATTATGTACAGAATAATATTTTATGGCATAGATATTGAAATGCTGAGTTACATGAACTTTTGATAAGTCTATACGTCTTGGTTAGTGCTTTTGCGTTTGACCGTAAGTTTCAAGATATAATAAGTAAGGCTTGAATCCAAGTGCTTGAATATGTCTAAGAAAATTTAATGTAAATTTATTCAAATGATGTTTTTATATCAGAATTTATAAAACTCTTCGCGATTTCATGATTTTATGATTTCTATCGTGTCTTTTACTAATGAATTATAATGCCTTTGTTAATAGTTACTAAAGTAAGATCCATATATATCCATGATTCAGTAAAAAAACATTGTAAGAAATTGCAAAAATTTGCACAAATCTTTAAGTTCAGTAGACATCAGTAGACCGTAGACCTACAAAACTTTTGCACTATTTTGTACACTTTTGTTAGTTCACTTTTTCACGGTTATATGGTATGCACTCCGTAGTAAATCAGAAAACAGAACACAGATGAACTTGGACGACACTCGTAGCTTCGTCCTAGTATGTTATAGCTTTAAACTAAGACTTCAGTTTTATTGTAATTGAAATAAGTTATTACTTAATTATGTAATACATAGAAAAAGAGTCTTCTATGAATGACAGGTAATAAAGGGAAAGCGTCATCAAAAGGAAGACATGAAATAAATGAATGACAATTGTACCTTCAAAGTATGAAAAGTTAAAAAAGAAAGAAAAAAAATACTAGTAAGAGAAGGAATAAAGAAAGAATCCCTTAAAAACAACTCGATGAAATCGTACTTTGACAAAAGCCGCCTCAAAGATTAAAACATACGAAGAGAGTTAAGTTTAATTTCGAAATTGAAATTGCATTTGGGACAAACGAACCGCTAGATACACAAATATTACACCTTGTAAAGGAAGCAATTTGATTACTCAGACATAGCCTATCCAGGTTTGAATTAATGTACTAAAAGTGTTGATGAAATCCGTATTGGATGATGAGCTAGCCGCAATATCTTTTTTGATTCTCTATTCAATGATTATAGTAGAAAAACCAATATAGATAATTGAAGAAATAACTAAGACAAAAAAGAAATTTTTTACTGGATATAAGCTTTGGTGTTTTTTTTTTTCTTGGATAAAACGTTTTAGAAAATTGGACGACGACGTGTTCAAAAACGCTGGGAAGCAATTTCGCTCCATATTTTGGAGCATGCGTAATAAGTGTTTTCTATTTACCCAAACCAGATGATGAAGAATGAGTTTTTCTGAAAGAATCGTATTTTATGCTTTAAATTTGGTTGATTTTTGTCATTATTGTATATATTAATCAAGCCTGGCCATCTTGTTTAACTGATAAAAGACGTTGCAAGACATATAAATGGTTTGCAATCATTTCCAAGAGAACAAAGTACATCGGACTCGCGCGCCATGTTAGATGCAATAAGACAAAAGACAACAACAAAAAGCAACATTTCTAAAAGTTTTTACTGAATTTGAACTAAAATGGTGGTTTTAAAGAACAGAAATAAGATGATAAGAGTTTTTTTACGGCAAAGAAGTCTTCATAACCCGCCCATGCAGAACTGATCATGGCCGACATGTTGCTCAGTGGTCTAAGTCACCCAAATGATTGCAGTATAGGGGGAATTGTTCTCAATTCATAATATTCAAAATACTGATCAACATGTGTAGGTTATATCAGAATAATATATAGAGATTACAAACCGTTATTTACAATTYCTTAATATACTGTGGATCATACGCAAACCCTTTCAAAGGTTTTTCTAGTGAGCTTTTTAAAGATCGATCAGTAAACTGATTATCAAAATGTTCTTGAAATGGCTATTCCGACATTTCCTAAATCTACATTATAGATTAATAAAAGGAGTAAATCGATGTATAATAGCTCGAGCGGTATTAAATGCGATTTGAAGTCAATTTACGAGATAAATACTGAAATCATATTTTCCTGACAAACAAACGAAAGAAAAAAGAATCGTTACTGGAAAGGAAAAATCGCGTACACGAAACTGCATTAACGCTTCGTTACCATGCGCTCTTGAAATCTCAAGTCTCCGTCCTGCGAATAGAACAAGCCGAAAAGGAAAATACTTTTTGATTAACAGAAACGTTTTGCGAGGGAGTGAGAGTACTTGATAAAGGTTTATTTTATTTGACTGTCTGTAGTACTCGATAAGAATCTACGGCATGTTTTGACTATACATAAGCTATTTCAATATTGTATTCTAGCTTAATCAATTAAAACGAAGCACTTGACTAAATGATATGATCTAAGCATAGTTAACTATGATCTAAGCACTAATCCAACATTACGTCAATATAACATTTCTTTCCAATAAAAAATTAATGAAAAAGGCTATATTAATTAATTGTTTGTTTATCTTGTCCTCAGAGCATTCGAAGGGCCGTAAAGACGTCAATATAAGAGCTAAATATCGACTTCTTTACGACTTGAAACGTTATATTTCCGAGAGTCCGCAACGCGGCTTTCTGATACGCTTTTTGCTAAAGTATAGATCCTCTCGCATTGAACGCCAAGTTCTCAAAAATTAAAGCTCTAAATTTTACGTAATTACAGTTTCTGTTTATCCAAACTTCATTCAGTTTAAAATAGCCGGTTGTGAATTGTGAATATGTGACTGTTATTCGAGAACAGCCCACAATTTGAGGTTAAATTCTATAGTTTGTATTTTCAATGAGTATTCATTTAGAAAACCAATCTTTCTTGGTAAAATTCAAAACTGTTAGAACGAAATATCTTGTCATCACTTGTAATCAAAATTTCAACTTCTAAGACAGGTGAAGCAACTTTTAATACAATTATAAACCCATTAAACCCAGAATTATTGTAATATTTTTTCACTTTGTTTTTTTTATAATGACGTCCAAAGACATTTTAGGAAGAGTTTGAATGCATTACAGAACGACTACTTCAAATAGTTTACCACCAATGACGCATTTAACCTTTTAGTTTACCGACGTAATTTTCCACTTTATATAATCATACTATTAGACGTTTACGATTAACAGCAATCAACTGCTGTAAAATTTCCAGCAAAAATGGCCTGTTTTATAAGTTACTTTTTAAGAGTTCAACAAAAATATATGAATGAAAACTGCACAATATCACTTCTTTGGAGGAGCATTTTTATGGAACCCATTTCAGTATTGACAAAAATCTTTTGTGGTTTTGATTATATTCCTAGGATTTGTGTCGTCCTGTTTCCTAGGAATTGTGGCTAAATACAGTCACATTTCCCTTGTGATGTTTATTTTGTCCTTGCGGAAGTTTCACAGTTGTAAGTGTTTTCCAACGCAGTTTAGCTACCCGCCAAATTGACCAAATTGGATAAATCGAGGGTTCTTGATAAAAATATCTTCGACTTATCTTACGATGTGAGTTTTTACTTTTGTATATGGAATAAATTTTAAGATATTAAAAGGTCATTATAGATGGAGACGAATTATAGGATCAGTGTGGTCACCCGAAAACCTATGATTGGTTGATATATAAGAGCTATTAGAAGTTTATTAGTAAATTAGATAAGAGAAGAATCTTTCATTCATAATACTATCACAGCCATTTAATTTTTATTGTTTGGAAAAAGATTTAAAACCTAAGATAATCTAACAGATTTTTCATACGTTACTCCCCGAGGTGGTTTTGAGCAGTCTACCCATCTTCGGCCGGTTTGATGATACTTTTCGAGCTTATAGTTTTGCGCGTTTTTAGTAGGATTTTAAACGGAAAATATTCCTAAAAACACTTTATCTTGTACTTTATCAGGGGTTTTTATTTTATTGATATTGCTAATCAGAATAATCGATAAAAAAATCACAAAGGAAAACCACTTCTGAAATGGAAAGAAATTCAGTTTTATGAAGTATACGAGTCATACTGAGAATGCCATCAAATCAAATCTAAAATTTGAAAAACTGTAGTCGAAAATGCAAGATCGCAAAAAGTCAAATTTAATTCAGTTGAATTATGGACTGAAAACTTACATATYGTTTTCTTTTTAACTATTTTCATAAAGTTATGTGGAGCTGAAGTTGCAACAACCGCATTTTGCATCAACGGCGCAAAGCGGAAATAATTTCATAAAATTTGAAAACATTTTCGACATACATAAAACTCTGTTCTGCACTTTATACTTTAGAAATCATCCTTGATCATATCGAGCTAGGTAAAAATGAAGAAATTTAAACTTTACAGTTTAGCATTTGATTTTTTGTCTTCTTTCGAGTCGACATCTAGTTCCACGTTTCAAAAAGCGCACTTGAATGGTATTCCGAAATTAGCGAAAGAATTAAATTCTGGAGCAAAGTATTTTCAGTCATATCAGTTGAAGCAGTTTAGAGGTCGTTTTGAGTATAGATATTATTACTTCTTTTTTAATTTCTTTTCTCCATAAAGTTTCGTCAGTAATTGTATGCTCAGGCTTTGATGGTTGGTTTAAGGTTGACAGCAGCTACTTAGAGTGCAATTATTTGGTCCAAATCCGCTCACCTAAAGACTTGAGCTATGCCAAAGATTTCACGTTATACATTACCTAATGGACTCCAAATGACTTTTCACAGTTCACTGTTCAGCAGGATCCTTGCCGCCACATTTAGCAATAAAAAAAATCCGGGTAAAATAAAGTAAATCAAGAAAACATTGTTTGATGTAAGCACTTGAGGTTTTCAACTTGAAATCTAAACAGTTCAATTTTGCTCAATGGGGAGTTTCAAAAATACCTGTCTACTAAAATAATTGTCCCCTCCCCCAAAGAAAACCCTCTACTTTGTCATTGAATAAAAAACCCGACATAGCGGCCCGCGTTCTAAATAATCTCCATATTTTATTAAGAAAAGGGTATTATTAAAGATAGCTTCTTGTTGGCGGTTTTTGCCTGGAGGCGTTGAAAACTTGATTTGGCGGCAACATTTTTGCGTCAATCTTTCTTTTCTCAAATTTTTCGGTCGCAGACGAATAAACTGAATCCTTCACTCGAACGGACTGTAGGATTTAAGTGAATCAAGGTTTTTTTAGTACAGTGTTTGTGTAGCTAGAAGTGTATATTCCTACGTGCCGAAGTAACTGTTGAGAATTCGATAGACAAGCTACTTCCTCATTTTGTCTCTTTGAAAATATGTTGATTCGTCTCTGACAACCCACTATTTAGAAAAATAAATAAGAGAATCGATAAACGCCTAGCTATTAAATGAAGGTAAAATCTTGAAGCCCTAAAAGTCTTGAAGTACTTTTAATTCATGTTTTACTTTCCTCTAATGTAATAATTGAGTTGACCTAAAAAGTTCGCTCCTGATGGAGTGTTTGGGACTTACAATCTAGGGGGCAAAACTTCCAATACGCAGCTCAGAGCTTCGTAGTTTCAGTGTTATTAAGACTTTTCTGTTTACATTGTGAAGACGTCAACCAATCGCTGGGAATTTTTGGCGTAAGAGAATACAAAAATGTATTTTGATATAATCTTAATTGAATAGATTCTGAAATTCAAACTATTTGTAGTGACATTGACTTCGAAGTTATTTTAATTTTCTTGGCAGGAGAGRAATCATAAAGTTTAATACACCAAAAACTTTAAGCCGATTTGAAAAAATTTCCCGGACCCATTTCTCTTTAAATAAACTTCTTTATCGGAAAAAAGTCATTGAAAACTTGCAAATCCAGACTGTCAGTGATTGAAAACAAATTTAAAACAAGGTCATTGAAAAGAAAAAAGAACTTTCACTTTTTTTAATTTTTCTGGAAACTTCGCATTGTTAATAATAATTTCGATTGCTCGTAAATTGAGCTTTTGAGCACTTGTGACTACTGGGATGTGATGGATGGAGTTAGTACTGCGCGCTGTTGGTAACGAAAAGGAAAGTCCTGTCTCAATTTAAAGCTTTTAGGGATAAACGGAGGCATTTGACAAAATATTAAATACTATCTCCTGTATAATCATTGCACTGGTCTTGGATGTTTGAGGCCTCCATTTGTTCGAGATGCCAGTCCTGTGTAGGATGTTTGCTTAGGTTAAACTTATCAGGTCGATCTCGACAGTGAGTGCATCTCCGTAATTACACACTCATTAGATTTTGATTCCGGTTATTCGGAAATTACTTTGGCATTTTATTGTTTTCTAACAGGGATAAATACCAAACCAGAGAGCCAGCACAAGTCACCTCACAACACTCCAGCGAATCTACAAGACCACAGCTCGATCTTGGACCAGTTTTTAACCCTAAAAAAACATGAATTCAAAGGCATTGATTATTTTGGTTGTTGTCCTGATGGCAGTAGCGATGGTACCTCAGACAAACGCCTTTACAGCCGGAGGAGGCGGGAACGTCCCCTCGGGAAAGCGAGAATATATGACGGTAAGACGCTAGTGAGATATCAGTCCGCATTTTGTTCATAGTTTTCCGGCGTTTTAGGTGCTTATTTAGCACTATTATATGCTGGTCGTATCAGGTAGGAGTGGTTCTCGTGTTGTGGCATTTTACTACAAAGTATTCCTCTAATTCAGTTATGGTAAAAGTAAGGGCTGCTTCTTTATTCAAAACAGCAACAATTTAAATAGTATTTCCAGAATTTATGCTTGAAACTCCGGAAAAAGTACGTTCATGATGTTACTCGTAGTTCAATTGTTTCCTTTTTGGTTCTTTTTGATCCTGTGTTGCTCTTTATTTGCTTCTGAAACAAAGCTAGAGAGAAAAGAGAAAAAGATAAAAGATAAAAGAAAGGATGATTGAAAGTAAGAAGGAAGAAAGAAAGAAAGAAGGAAAATATGAAAGACGGAACGGAAGAAGAGGAGGAAGAGGAAAGAGAAAGAAAAGAAAAAAAGGCGGGCCTGAAAAAAGAAAGACAATGAAAATGATAGCCAAGAACTTCTTAATGGAAGCTGTTCAAAATAAAGACCATTTCAAGTCTTCGGAAGCAACTAAAGCTTAGAAAATCCTCCACTAATAGATATTTTTCGTGTTTAAAAAAAGAAACTAAATGTGGCTGTTGTTCAGATTATTTTCGAGAAAAGCATTGTTTGTCTTGGGAGTGTATGCCATAGTTCATGAAGTATTTTCACGATAATTTATTTCAATMGAAATAATAATTATAGTTTTTCCTCCGTTATTTGGATGGTATTCTGAAAATTTTTTACTTGAGCCAGTATTTTTATTAATAATAATAAGATGCTTAAAATTTTGATCAAAATTTAGGTTTTGAATGAAAGAGTATATGTTGTTTTAGGCCCCGCGAACATATTTTTAAACGCAGATAAGAAAAGAATTTCCTCCATCTTTGTTGTCACTGACAGGTGCAGGAATGTTGAAAACATACCGCCCCATTTAGTAATGATTGGTTTTGCAATATTCAGCGCTGAGAAAATATTTTCCTTTCACGAAAACGACAAATTTTACTTATTCTTTTTCTAATCTTATCCAATCATTCTTGCTGTATCGCACTGGCTTTGAATTGTTTTATACTTGTGTAGCTGTGAATATTTCTTCTAGATTATTTATTTACTAAACCAGCAGAAAATTGTTTCTAGTTTTTTGTGATAGTCTAGGAAACGCTTTCGGGATTTCTTCACTTGTGTTCAATTTTCTGGAGAAAAATTTCCCCTTTTGCGTGTAAACATTTTTATTCCGTTTGAATCCCACACTGTGAAGAAATACAAACAAAGTCTTGAAGTCTTTCCGGTTTTTTTCCTTTTTTAGACTCTTTATTTTCAATCGACTTCAATTTTAAAATCTTAAAAATCTAATATAGATATAAAGCTGAATCGAAAAACCAAGCTTGAATAAAGGAGTAAAAATATGTCATACGTTGTGCATAACTATTTCAGAGTTCTTGCGAAATTATGTTTTTTTTCTTATTCTTTTTCAGCTAAAAAGAGCAGTGAGTAGCCTGTGTGCAGTCGCTCGTGAACACTGTAAACGAGAAGCTTTCGATAGCAAAGACCTGGAATAAATAATGAAGAAATATCAAGAAAATAATGAAGAAACAAATCCAAGAATCGCAGAGTGTTTCCGTGCCATGCAATGTTTATGATAACAAACTACTACAAGCTTTCGTCCCTCGATCCCCAATTGAACTAAAACCCCAGAAATACAATTAGTTAATTCTATGAAGTTTATTGCGCTTCTACGTTGTACGTAAATTGGTAATAAATTGATTTATAAACGACCAAAGAGCCTTTGTATTGACATATTTTTTTGTAGAAGTTATGGACCAATTTTTCTCGTAATTGCCCCAAACAATTCCTAGATTTGTACATAAGTAATATTTCTTTTGCAATATCTATGATAGATCCACACAGTCTGCGTCTTGAAGAGGGGCGGTATTCCAAAAGTAGAATGAATTCTCGGTTTATTGTGAACACAAAAAAGCGGCACTTCCTGACGCACGCGATCAACGTCAGTGAGAGAGTTTATTAATTTGAACTCGAGCAAGGCAGGTGGGCGGGAGCTTTCAGTTCGCGTACAAGAAATAAAACTAAGGACTGCGAAAAGCCGGGGAAAAGGAGTGAAAAAATCCGGAATAAAGAAAATGAATGGAAAAGTGAGAAGRCGGCAAGGAAGAAGGGGAAAAAGGATGACAAGAAATTAAGTGAAAAACATCGAGACAATTACAGGATTACTATATGAAAGTAAAAGAGAGAGAGGACAGAATAGCTGAGAAATATAAAAACAACCGTCTACATACACTTTTAATCCCGATAAAATAAAACAGATCATACAAGTTGGTCTATATAGTATATATCAGATATATAGACTTTTCATTTTATAGTTCTCAAATGCTTTTGGAATGTTTTCGAAATTATTTTGGATAAAAACTCCACCAAATAAACTTGAATAGAAGGAACTGATATACGTTGCCTTGACTATTTATGTTTATCTTATGGACGACGTGTTGCTCGTGGAGCTTAGTGAAATTTTACTGGGATACCTGTTTTGGCGAACGCAACTGAGTGTCACGTGTCAATAGAGCTAGTCACTATCGTTACTTTAATTTGAATGTTTAATTTTTCGAGTTTTCTGATTTTTCTCCCTCCATTCTCTACTTTCACATCCCCATAGTACTTTGCGTCTTTGTAGGTACCAGAGGGTAAAAACCCGCTTATTTTGCAGAAGGCTGATCAGACAATGTTGACAATACCTTGTTTGGTATCCAAAAATAAAATGAAGAAGTAAAAAGATAGAACCTTGAAGACGTTTAGGGTAAATTTTAAACATTTTTTCGTAAGTCAATACATTTTCTGTAAGACCAAAACTCTTGATGATCTGTACATGCAAAAATAACTTGGAATAAACTGATAATCAGTATTGTACAGATAAAAGCAGGTATAGTATAAATTCAATTAAGAAACCTTTTAATTTGGGACAAATTTTTGATAAGTTACCCCCCAAAGACGCAAGGCATTATGGGGATGTGAAAATAGAGAATACTGCCCTACACATTTGACTTTTTTTCGAATCGTATATTCATTTTGAGGCAGGCTGTATCTAAGAGTTTACATCAACAGAGCAGGTGTATGCTACGTCATTGCCGCCATCTTGGTTGACGATAACAAAGCTTCTCCTGTTAGATCAAACAAGATGTCGGCTGTTTCATTCTTTAGTACATATCTCAAGGGATTTTGAGTCTCATGTTGCACAAACTGTATAGACTTGGTCAAATCGATTAATCCAACTCATGGAAAAACAAAGGAAATTCACGGCAAAACAAAGAAAGAGAAAGTGGTCAGCGGAAATGCAAAGAAAGCTAACACCAGTCTTACTCTTCAAGATACGCGTGTATCGTCATTGTCGCTTCTTCTTCTGTACTGTTTTACGGATCTCATCTATAAATATTTAGTACTAATGTTTTGCTCTCAGTGTGGATGGTATGTTGAGGACATTTTTTGTTCTAGCTGTAGAACAGTACATTATGGTTTAAAATCTACTTAGTCCTTCTACACAGTTGTGAAGGTTATTGTTATGTTAATTTCATAGAACCGGTAGCCGGGCTTGAACTTCCAACTGGATGGGTGGCCTAAACATCATGCGTAGCTCCTTTTTCGGCTTGAAAATCATAGAATAGTTATATATATATATATTATTTTCTATGTGAAGATAGAATTGAGAAATCGAAAAAAAAAAAGACTGCCTGGCATTCAATCCGTTTCCTGCAGTCTGTAATTATGAGAGAAAATTTTCAAAGTACCATGAAGAGATTACTCTTTCGTATTCTATGCCGAGAAAAGAAAAACATGTCAAATATAAATCTATTGAGCTAAAGTGATTCGATTAAAGTTTCTCTACGAAACAGGATACTTTAAATCGATTAGAATTCGTTTTAGTGATAACTGCCGGACGTTTTGTCATTCTGGAATGGCTGCAAAAGTACTGGGAGAGAAACTTGGTAAATATACATTGACAAGGAGACTAGTACCTGACAAGGAAAACGCATTTGTTACTTTCATGCAACTACAAGATAGATAGATCAATAGCCGATAAATTTACTAGGCCTGAGAAAGAAAGCATTTAAAAGAAAATGAGTACGCCAACTTAGCAAATCAGTGAACTTGTCAGGAAAACTTGCTCATGTAAATGCGGCTTTATAGGCCAGGGCCCGGTTGCACGAAGAGTGGCCGTAGAGGTATCCAGATAAATCTATTGGATAACGGCATCAATTTATCTACTGGAGTTCGGTTGTACGGGGTCGATAGCGCTATCCGACGGATAAATCCCATCCAGTGGATAAATTTATTGGATAACAGCATCGACTTATCCACTGGAAAAGGTTTTATCCGTTGGATAGCGCTATCCACCCTTCGCACAACCGGGCCTAAGATAATAGTAGTTATATCACTGCAATTTTCCGATAAACATGCGAACTTCATGTTCCCATGACAATCATGTCGTCATCGTATTCGAAAAATTTCGGGTCAAAATGTCCTCCGTCCACACTAATACGGCTAGCCGGCGTTTTCAAATTGTTCCACTCTGGAGACCGTATTCGAAAAGTTCCGTTTTCGGTGAAGAATTGTTCCGGAAGGCATAACCGGATGAATAAAGTTTCGGATTCAAATATATCCGGCAACAGTGTGGACGGGGCCGCCTGAGAGAGTCTGACAGAGTCCTTCATGGTCTCTTGGAACCAACTATTTACCATTTCGAGGTCGGGAAAAAAATTGAGTCGAGTTGACATTACAGTGCATGATTTTGGKGATAATAAACGCCATCTTGAGTAACGTCCTCTAAAACAATCCCACAATGCACTCGCTCTAACTCGATTCGATCAGCTTTTCACCCCAACCTCAGAATGGCTATCAGCTAGCCAATCAGAACGCCCGATATGCAATAGTCGACTAGTTTGCTAAAAATGAACTATTATTACCAAAAATTGCTAAAATAGTTTGAAAACATGAAAAGATTAGTAAAAATAAAAGATAAATGAATTTAATAAAAAAGTGAATGGATTCAAATTCTTAAAGTAAGTTTGAGAAAATTAATCGCTGACCCCTCTACCCACTTCTTGTAATCCGCTAAAGATGTCAAAAACAACTCTAGAGAGACTAAAGGAGTTCTTTGTTGACTGAATACAATAAGTATTTACATGATTTAGTTTCATGATAGGGGATTTACCTGCCATTTTACACAGTTTTAGCCCCTCTAACCGCAAAGTAAATTCGCCGTATTAATAAAAGGACGAGGCAAAGCGATTTAAAAAAATGTTTTCCTATGATATCATCACGAGTAAAGTCAATAGCAGCTGTTTTTTGAAGTGTTCAGTTAATCCCAAGTTCTTTTGTGAGGTATAACGTGACGTTATTGATATTTTTAAAATACGAATCCGTTTGGTTTCATTAAACAGCTGATAGATTCAAAAATATAGCGACAAAATCTTATACATCTTTTGGTTTCTTCAAAAAGAGAAAATAACCCTTTATGAACATCAAGGAAAAGAATATAAAGCTAAATCTTATTAGCTTTTTTTTATTAGCTGCGTGAAAATAATGCCAAAATTTTGGATTTTTGAGGACCCGACTGACGGTTCCTAAGCAGCGATGGACGCTTTGGGGCGTCCCTTGTGAAATGCCATGTTGAAAGAAACTGCTTTCTGATCAAATACAACATCGTCAAAATCCATATAAAAAGGATTAAAAAAAAAAAACTTTTTAAATCATAAACTCTTTTTAAAAAACTTTGAAATATAATAGTTTGAGACTGTTGTGTGTATGAGAAGTTTTGAAGAGATAAAATTGAATTATTATTTTTGAATTGTCGATTGAAATGTAAATTCTTATAACATGTGGTTGTCACTTGGTAAGCCGCAGCGTTCTAATTGACTTTCGGCAGTAAATTCTACGCAAGCAAAAAGGTAAACGTTCAAAAACGAGAATACTTCAGCACAATATTCCCCTTAAGTCTTTCTCGTTCAACTGATTAATGCCATAGGAACGTCGAAAAAGTCGTAAATGTGCTAATTTGTCCAATTTGAGGGATAAAAGACCCTAAAATTCGCGATTAACAACGAAAGTTGCACGAAGCCTTCGAGAGACTGCTGCAAAATGACTACCGTTTTTTCAAATTTGAACTTTTTTATTCTTTGTCTACTGCTTGTTTCTTGTTCTTTGGTGTATACAAGTAACAAAGACTGTACTGCTGGACCTTGTTTTCCTACGTCGGGGGAAATTGCGAGTAAATTCTCAGTTCAAGCGAATTCAACGTGTGGCGTCGATAAAGTTGAAGAATATTGTCTTCCTTCAAGTCTTGACTGCAACCAAATTTGTAATGACAGTAATCCTAAGGCTAACCAGAGTCACTCTTCAACTTATATTAACGATGCATTTGCTTTAAATACATTCTGGAAGTCTTCAAATATGGATCGACCAGTGTTTTTACAGTTTGACTTTGGTGTACAGTTCATGGTTTATCGTTCTGTAGCGACGTTTGAGTTCGAGCTTCCTGCTGCCATGTACTTCGCAAAGTCTCAAAACAACGGCTTGGATTTTCAACCACTTGCTTTCTATGCCACTGCTTGCACTAAATTCTTTAGTATGACGGAAACTCCGAGTAACAGATTGAATGGTTTAGCGGTGGAATGCTTTAAAATCGATCCAACAAATAATCCAGCAAAGCAGGTGAGTTTAGAAATATTGTACAGCTTCACTTTGACATTTTCGTCTTCAAATTTCAAACTTGAGAATTTTTATGTGTTAGTTAAATTTTACTACAAAGTATTCATTAAAAATATGATCCCTCTAATTCTACTCTGAATAAAGATGTCAGCTAAATATCATAAATAGGCTTATTAAATGCAAAAATATTAACTTCAATCGACAATACTTTTAATAAAAAGACTTGGGTTAACTAACGTCTTTTTAGTTCAATTAGTTTTCTTTATAAAAAAATCACGTTCCTTATTATTCCTTCAATGCAGTCGCAATGCCATATTGTTATTTTAAGCCTATTGACGCTTTAAATTATTTCTATTAAATCCCTTTATTCAATGTAACAGTTTTTTATTTCTCCTGGTATGCACGCCAGGCTGGTCGTTAGGATCCCATGCTATAAACAATGTTTCATTTCCTCTTAGTAACCTTAACAGACCGTTTAATTTTCAACATATTTGAACTTTGGCCTTAAAGAAATATTTTACTGTCGAACATTAAGCTCTTATGTATTCCAATGAGTTTCAAAATTGTACAGAACGTGAATGTCATAAGTTACTGTGCCAAAAATGCATTTTAGTGATTATTAATTAAGAGGTGTTGGTTTAAATGGTGAGAAAATTGGTTAAGTGGGGTTTTTGTTTAGTATCGTAGGGTATTATCAGTAGTCTCTGTTGAGTACTAACAATTGCTTGAGTGTAAATATAAAACTCTTTCATTCAAAAGAACATATATGTTATATACCTGTACGATATATAAATAAACTGTAGTAGCATATGTGTTGTCTATTTAGTAGTATACCACATAGATGGAAAGAACATACCCCTAGCATGTAACGTCAGCGCAGCTCAATTTGAAAGACAAATCAAAAGAATTTCAATCTCAAGAGAATTTGAAACCTATTGACATTACGTCCTCCAAATTGAGCTGTATTCCAATGTGCTGCAAGGGATCTATAATATATGACTTTTCTGCCAGCACTTAATAATATTAAGAGAATGCCTCCTGTAACATACATGTATATATAGAGCCGAAAACAATATAATGTTTCGCGGAATTATATATGCATTATTTGGAATACCTTATTGTACAATATTGTATGGAATATTATTTTAACATCTACAAGTACAAGTTGTATATTCTGTTGTGTATCTAATGAAGGGAAAGAAAAACACAGTCTTATCTAGAACTAAAATTGCACCAAATAACCTGTTATTTTGTGACCACAATGTAATCAATGTAGATATTATGGTGATCGTTCTTATGCATGGAATAAATATTTCATAAATAAACCATTAATCTATTTTTATCATATTTATTTATTTATTATATTTATTTATTGTTATTATTATTATTATATTTTACATTATTGCAAGTCCTTTATGAATGCATTCAAAAAGAAAATAAATAATGTCGTAGGCAAAAATAATTGTAGACATGCTTTTGGATAAAGAATTTTAAGTGATTATTATAAATGGTTAAATAAAAGAAAAAATAAAGTACGTTGTTGCTGTTATGAGTATATATATATATAGAGAAAGGTTTTGCACCATCACGTGATGGCAGCCATGACAGGAGGCACAACAATAGTTTTTTTCCCCAGGGAAACTGAATTCTTTCTCTTGCAAATCAGATTAGACTATGGCTGCCATCACATGATGATGCAAAGCCTCTATATATATAACTATGATGTAATTAATATGATAGACATAATATTGAGAAATATATAGTTGGTAATAATTATTTTCATATATAATTGTTCTTATGAGTGTGAAAATGACTGTATAATATATTGTTTGTCTACGAGTATAAATAAAATAACACTAGTTGCCATCTTTTTAAATATTCTGACATACTTAGAGTTAAAGACTTATCATGTGATTTCTAATTTTTTGTATTGTTTAGATAGAGTATGGCCCCATGAGAGATCCAGCAACATCCCAAGGGATCGTCGCCAGCCATCAGAACCAGACATACTTTGTCATGACCAATCTTCGTCTTGTCCTGGTCAGCTACATAACACCACCTGGCTTTGATCCAGCGACTGCCAGTGATCAGCTGAAAAAGAGTCTATCATTTACATTACGAGACTGGGATGTTATTGCTGCYTGTTTTTGTAATGGACAAGCATCGGCATGTGTAAGTGAAGTAAGTACATATACATATAATTTTAACATAATTTTTTTATAACATTTTAAGCCCCTGACTGTTGGCCCATCCTAGGCTTGAACCCACGACCACCTTAATTCATGTCTGGTGCCCAACCAACTGAACCAACCAGGAGGTGGATTTTTGATTGATAAAGCACAGTTCTGGACCAATGAGAGCTTTCATAGTATAGTCTCTCTAAGCTATATTATATATTTTGTAGGTCCGAGTGTTATTTATTTTAGTTTTGGTGTTCACTCTTTCAAAGACACACAGCAACACATAGCAGCATGTCATGCCTTAACATAATTATGTATTTGCAATGTAGGTCTTTTTTAATCCCATAAGGCTTTATTTCCAAGTTTGACATTTATTCTTTTCAATTTCATTAAGAAAAACAAATTTCAAAAAAAAAAAATTGTTGTCAAAGCATAAAAAAGGCACTGTGGATTTATGAAAATGTCTGTATGTATAATTTTGTCTTAAGGGAAAGTTCATTTAATACGCAGAGGGGGGGTGGGGCAAAGGGGATGAAGATTTCACCTCTAAAACCTCATTTTTTAACAGGCCCCACTTTAGAACTTAATTTTTGAAGCCCACCCAAAAAATGTTTCAGTGAAGCATTTTTCAAATTGAGAGCACCCCCTTGCATGTGTGAAAATTTTTTAGAGCCCCTCCTTTCTTGTTCCAAAAATGTCAGTAATCCCCACATATCTTCATACCCCCCTTGGCATATTAAATGTATTAAATGAACTATCCCTAAATAATTTAATGGAAAGTAAAAACATGTTTCTAGTCATTATAATCAAGCTTGGTTTAATATTTGTTTCAATTAGAATGTTGGGAAATGTCTGTGTAAAAGGAATACTGATGGCAACAACTGCGAGAAATGTTTACCTCTTTATAACAACAAAACCTATGAAGTTAGAAAACCATGTGAAGGTAAGGTCATTTTTTGAATAGCTACAACTGTTTGTAATACTAATATTGCTCATTGATATGCTCATTAAAACAATATTGAAATATACAGCCAATAAGAATCGAAAAAAATCTATAAAAAATCTATATTAAGCTTAGGCTGTCGTGTCACAGTGTGTGACAATCACAACAGAGCTAGGATCACACTAGGTGAAAGCCCAAAGATTGAATTTGAATTTAGTCGTTGATTTTTGAGGAGGGAGGAAAACCAGAGAGCCTGGAGAAAAACCTTCAAAGCACAGGAGAGAACCAACAAGCAACTCTACTCACATATGATGCTGAGACAGACAGGATGCCATCTGTGCTTCCAAAGAAATCAGGAAATGCATTAAAGCTGTCGTATACCTGGCAGTATTCCACTGTTCCTTCCCATCAGGCATTGTGGCCTAAGGGTTTTCAATGATGTTAAAAATAAAATGATGAAACAGTCATGGAATATCCCACTTGTCACTTGTATTTTCTTAGTGAACACATGTAACTCGATATGGGAAATTCCATTGCATGCCTCTCAAATCCATCTACAAACATCATTCAAATCCATTATACATCTCATAGAGATCGAATGAATTGGTAGAAAACTATGACTTGAGCAATCAGGGCTACAAATAATTGCTGGTCAGTTGCCAGTCATCAAATAAGTTTTATAGTCATACCTCGTTTCTGGCTCAGCATTACTGCTTAAAATGACTGGCAGCTCAAAGACTGTACAAGTTCTGATTCTGGACAGATATTGTTTGATAATTGGTGGCTATTTTCAGCACTGACAATCTATTAAAAGTTCCTATAGATTAAAATGTTGCAACGATTTAGTGCTGAAGTAATGTTTTTCTGGTCAATAGTGGATAACAAAATAGAAGAAATGTTGAATTATTATTTTCATGTATTCATTTTGTCCTGGGGAGTCAGGATGGCGTGGTGGTAAAAGGCTCGACTCTCACCTCTGAGGTCCAGAGTTCAAATCCCAGTCACCCCATGTGAGCTGGGTTGGTTGGTTCTCTTTCTGACTCGGAGAGTTTTTTCTGGTCCTCCGGCTTTTCCTCCCTCCTCTCAAATCAACCCTAACAACATGTAATTCAAACTGGTTAGAGCTGTGCTCTGGGGTCATACATGGACTGGTGGCTGCCAGAGGTGCCTTCACATGCTTTCAGTTCAACCTCGTTGAGCTGCGCCTTCTGTACCTGCGGTGGTGATAAGTGACAAGTTTTTAATATTTTTTCTTTCCATTTCAGCTTGTGGTTGTAATGATCATGCGAACAGCTGCCATTACAACTCCACCAAGGGATATGGTGTGTGTGACAACTGTACTGATAATACAACAGGAGACAAGTGTGAAACATGTCAAATAGAAYACTACAGACCCCAAACAAATCTATCCTATCCATGCTTAGGTAAGTACCATTCCATTTAGGTAAAAAAATGGAGTCTCTCTTAAATAATAAGTATGTGATATAATCTTTTTAGGCATTTTAAGGTGAGTATTTTTTCAAGTCTACAAAAGATTACAAAAATTTTATAAAAATTAATGTGTGATATTTATTTTTCAACTATTTCTTAGTATAAATTGAATAATGAACCCAACTTCTGATTTGTAGACTAAGTACAAATATCGCAGGATATTGAACTTGCTCCAGGCTTGATTCTCCTGAGACATTTGTACTCTACTGAGTTTATTTGGATAATAAATTATATTATCGGAATAGTATATCAATATTATTTATTGATATTTATCATATTATCTGAATATTTATTAATTCCAAGCCCTGATTATTAATAGTAATTTTTCATTAATCTTTAATGATAGCATGTGCTTGCAACCTTTCTGGGGTGAGAAACACAGCCAATCGTACTCTCTGTCATCGCAGTACTGGTCAGTGTGGCTGTAAGGAGAGAGTGATGGGCAGAGCCTGCGATACTTGTAAACCTGATTACTGGAACCTCACTGAATCCAACCCTTTAGGATGTCAAGGTAGGATTATTTGAAGTCTTCTAATATTTATATATAAATAGTATATCATTAATTTATTACTAATACATAAATTAGTAATAAATTATTGAAATAAATAAATGAATAAAAATTTTTTGTTTATACGTGAAAGGCTTTACAGCTAGAAGCTTGTAGGGCCATGTATCCTCCATGCACACTCCTTCCTACATTTGAATATTCTAGTCACATGACTCTCAACTCATTTTTTTAAAGAGGGAGGAAACCGAGAAAAAAACCCTTGTAGCATAGTATAGAACAAGAAACTCCACTCACATACTACCCTGTAACTTACATTAGACTCCCCTTGCCACAAGCCTTGCCTGTGAGAGAATCATCCTTGTTTGTAAACCTGTGACCCTTGTTTCATGATATAATTTGAATTTAAGAGTTGATTTTTGTGGAGGGGTGAAAACTGGAGAACCCGGAGAAAAAACCCTCGAAGCACAAATTAAAGAGAACCAACAAACAACTTACTCTACTCACATATGACACTGAGCCTGGCGGGACTCCAACCTGGGTTGCATTGGTGAGAGGCGAGCGATCTCACTGCTATGCCACCCGTGCTTCCCTCACCACATCTCAATAAGCATYGTAGACCAACCGTGCTACCCATGGTCAAGGATCAATAGACTGGAGGTAATGTTTTTCTATTTTAAACCATGTGAATGATTGAACTTTTATTGTTCTAGGCTGTGAGTGTTCCCTGATAGGTACTGTTAATAGGTCCAATACCTGTGACCATGCTAATGATGGACAATGCCCATGTAAAAGAAACATTGACGGCAGAACATGTAACAAGTGCAAGGTAATTAATAATCATAATCATATCTTTTTTACCCTGTACAAAAATAAAGTTGTCCACCATTACGAGGCTGCAGTCTGGATACAGGATTCAGGGACCAAGTAGGAGGTGGACTCCCCACTTTTTTCCTTTTCCCATACTAGTCTCTTATTCCAATCTTAGCCTCCCCTCCCCCCACTTTTCCCCACACTAGTCTCATATATTTTACAGTCTTAGCCCCCCCTCCCCCCCCTCCAACAAACATTCTCTACTCATATACTGCACAGTATAGTGTTGTTTAGTCATATTTATGAATTACTGTACATATACATTTTCCTCAAACTAGGATGGATATTACAATTTAACTGAAGATAACCCAGATGGCTGCCTGTCATGTAACTGTAATCCAGCAGGGTCAGTCAACGTGAAATGTAACTCAACTGGAGAATGTACCTGCCGTCCACGGTTTTATGGGTCAAAGTGCGACAAGATTGAAGAAGGCTTCTTTGTTCCAAGTGTTGATTCCTTGACCCTACAAGCTGAAGATGGAGTCCTTTCACCAGTGAGTGCCTATCATTGTCTGAAAAGCTCACCTTTGATTAGCTTGTTTTGCATGCATAGAAATTTAGTTTAGATTTAACCAATCAGAGGTGACCATTCTTGTTTAAAAACCTTTGAATTTTGTTGACACCCTTAAACAGCTTTATGGCTGATCAAAGTCAGGGACTGAATTACTCACATATCAAGTGTTGTGTAATTTTAGAAAATATCCATGCCCCCATCCACAGATGGAATTGGAAATTCTGGAGGGGAGGGGGTCAGTGAAACCTTGAACAAAATTACAGAGTTTGTTTGTACGAATGTTAGAAGTTCCTGGCAGTTGCTAGGGGTCCTTATACAAATTCCCTCTTTGGTGGAGTTAGAGTGCTCACACTAAATCCGTGAAACAAATACTAATTTTTAGCACTAAATAGTGATAATTAAACAATAGAAAACAAAGGATTCGTATAGGAAATCGCACGATCTCGAGTACAATTTGGAAATTAATAGACATGAGTAATGTTTTGAAAGTTCTTGTAATTGCACGAGCCTTTAGGCGAGTGCAATTAAAGAACTTTCAAAACATTACGAGTGTCTATTAATTCCAAATTGTACGAGAAGATCGTGCGATTTTTTGTTTATAGTTCACTCAACAAAATTTCAGTAAAAAATGCAAAGCGACGCTGTTCATCTTTGTCTATTTGGAGAGCGATTTTCAGTCCATCGCGCAACTGAAATGCATAAAAAAGATTAGTTCTTACGGCTTTAAAATTATATTTATATGTTTTTTAAGTACAAAATGATAGAAAATAATTGTTTTGACATTGTTTTGGCCGTGTTGCCATAGCGACTTAATTCGATACTCCTACAGAGTACAATTAACGCTATGATTGTACTCCTCTTGACCAATCAGAGTCGAGTAATTTTGTTGAGTGTACTATAATGTATGAAATAGTACTAATTTGTACTATTTAATGTTCACGGTTTTGGTGTGTGCACTCTATGAATATTTTTTTGAACTAAAAAGATCCACAAGTTTAATCTTATTGATAACTATATTGTTTTCACTCACCAGGCCCAGGAAAAGAAAGTCAAGCACTCAATGCTCACCACATCTACTGGAAAAGAGTATCTCTTTATTGGTTTGGTTCTCAAAGAAAGTGACAATGTAACAACCCCAACGCAGCTGACAATGAATGTGACTGTACCCAAGACAGCACTCTATACATTTGCACTAAGATACATGGTATGTTAGCCTTGTCTGATTTCTGATTTTAGGAACCACTCATTTTATTTAGGGGGGAGGGGGAGGGAGGTGGTGGTAGGGCCGTATGTGACTGTACCCAAGATACATGGTATGTTAGTCTTGTCTGTATCTTAGGGACTGCTCATTTTATTTTGGGGGTTGGGGGTGGGGGTAGGGTTGAATTTGACTTTACCCTAGACAGCACTCTGTGCATTTGCATTTCTCAGGAACCACTCATTTTTTAGGTATTGGTGGTGGTGGTGAGTTTTAAAGGTGATACAAAATGCCATCCAAAAATTGACTGATAGAATGTTTAAAAAACAACCCTCTCCGAAAATATCCCCTCCCTGATAATAAGCCCATCCAAAAGAGTGGGTGGGCAATCAGACGAAAGTGGGCGTGGAGCCTGTTTTACGAAAACTTTGGCCAATTCCAAAGTTAGAAACAAGGTTTTCAAGCTTAATTTCCAGGGCTTATGGTATTTTTTTAATCGATCTTTGCAATTTCTTTAAAAATCTTGAGGTAATTCCCTTACCTGCCTTAACCTAAAAGCCATTGACTGAGTTCATATTTTCCTCTTGTTTTTTGCAGACCACTCAAAATTGGTATTTCCTGAAGCTCACAGTTGAGCTTCGATCTTTATTTACTCCTTTCACATGCAATAGTGTTACTTATTCAAATAACAAGCCCCATGAGTTCTTAGCCAATGCAACAGCTGGTAATGAATCAGCCATGTTTGGTCAGGCAACCTGTTTGAGAGAGGGAGTCTATGTGGTTAATTTGGAACTACGACCTGGTGGCAGCACTCCTAATGCAGAGATAACTGTTGATTCGGTAAGCTGAAACAAGTGARACAAACAGACACAATGACTGGCAGATAGATAGACAAACAGACACACAGACAGATTGACAATGAGATAGATAGACCATTAGAGCTGTGCTCAAGGGTCATTTGTAAGCTGAAACAAGTGAGACAAACAGACACAAAGACTGGCAGACAGACAGGCAAACAGACAGATGGACAATGAGATAGATAGACCATTAGGGCTGTGCTCCAGGGTCATATGTAAGCTAAAAAAAGTGAGACAAACAGACACAAAGACTGGTGGACAGATACACAGACACACAGACACACAGACACACAGACACACAAACTGATGGACAATGAGATAGGTAGACCATTAGAGCTGTGATCCAGGGTCATATGTACATAGACTGCATAGCGGCTGCCAGAGGCACCAGAAGCGCATGCTTTAAGTTAGGCCTTAGAGAGCTGTGCCACTGCTGTACTTTGCAGTGGTGATGCAATGACAATTTTAGACAGATAAATGGACAAATACACAGTCAAAGAGATGGACAGACAGACCTGACAAATGGATGGACAAGGACAAGGCACATGTTCAATTAATAATAAATGATATCTTTGTTTGATAAACTCATGTTTTATGTTTAAGGTTGTCATTCTACCAGCTGTAACACAATATCCTCAGTTCCAACGAGCTTCACTGGATGAACAAACCAATGTGACAACATACTACAATTGGGCCTCTAACTTGAGACAGTGGACAGACAATTCAAATTTAGGTTGTAATGCCTTGTCTGGTTACTATGGTTACCTCTATGGAGAAGGACAAGGTATGGTCATATGATCAATACCAAGTATTTTTGTTATGGCTTGTTTGAGTCACACAATACTTTATTTTAATTTTATTCTTATTTTACAAGATTCACCATTAAGAAAATTATACAATATGTAAATATCTGGCATACATGGATTCTAATAATGGCGTCTGATCATCTAGTATATTGATACCCCGGGGGGTACTCTTGCCTGTTTAGGGTAGGGATGTTCTGCTGAGCCCACTGAACCCTGACCCTGTTCCAGAGTAAAATCGCTGAAATTCATACCCTGTTCCAGAGCAAGATCGCTGAAAATCATACCCTGTTCCAGTATTGCAAAAATAGATACCCTGTTCCAGAGAGAGAGAGAGAGGGGGGGGGGGAGAGTGATTTCTATACCCTGTCCCAGAGCGAGCACAATTTTATATACCCTGTTCCAGAGTAGAATCGCTGAAAACCATGCCCTGTTTGGGATTGATACATATTTTCTGTTTGGTTCCAGCTTGTTCATGCGATGCTACTGGAGCAAATAACCCGTCAGTGTGTGACAAGTGTGGTGGTCAGTGTTCTTGTAAACCAAATGTGATTGGCCGAACATGTGAGGAATGCCGACCAGACTATTATAACTTCACCTCCGGCTCTGGATGCCAAGGTCAGTCAGACAAAGTATTATTGGATGCATTGAATCAATATATAATATTGAAATGTTGTAGATTCACAGAGTCCAGTGACTAAGAAAAGAAAAGACGTATTAATAGTAGCATTGATAACAAAAAAACATTAGAAACAATAGGAGCAACAACACCAAAATGGGAATAACCAAGATGGACCATTTAGTAGGGCAACACAGCTATGAAGGCAATATTAACTCGACTAAGGCAAGAAGACTCCTGACAACAAGAATGTAAAAAAAAAAAAAAAAACAAAAAAAAAGAAATAAAAAAAAAAAAAAAAAAAAAAAAAAAAAAAAAGAAGAAGAAGAAATATCAGAAAACCAAAATATCACATCGACAAAAGCAACAAGACTTCTGACAACAAGAAAGATACTCCCTCCCCCTCCAATAATGAGAAATATAAGAAAAACCAAAAAGAAAAAAAAAGAAAGTATACTTTTAAATCAAGCTATGAAATAGTTCATTTTCTCTTGGTTAAACTGCATCTCGCTACGTACTGTTGCATGACATTCACCATAATGAGTCTCTTTTTCTCTTCCAGCGTGTTCATGTCACGTCGAAGGCTCCATGCGTTTATCCTGTCATCCATTTACTGGTCAATGTGAGTGCAGACCAAACGTCATTGGTAAACAATGTGATCAGTGTATACAGAACTACTTCAACGTCACCAGTGGAAGTGGCTGCTACCCTTGTAACTGTAACTCAGATTATTCTACAAGTTTGCAGTGCAATGATAACGGTGTATGCCCGTGTAAGGCTGGTGTTGGTGGTACCAAGTGTACTCTTTGTGCTGACAGATTTTACAATCTGACTACTTCAGGTTAAAATATTGGATTGTTCAAAATATGGGGGGGGGGGGGGGGGGATTTTATATTACCCTTTGCAATCATGCGTTAGAAAAACATGACTTAATAACTGGGCTGCCTGCGGTAGGCCGTTCGTATGTTTTTATTCCTTGAAATTCTTGTTAGCTTGTTCTGCTGTTAATACTGTTATTGCTGTCATTTAATGACACGCTGAACGAATAATAAGGTGCCTATGTACTTGAAGGTCACTAGGCAGATTCTGTACAACTGAAATTATAAAGCAAATACTGTAACACCACACAGTAGCAACCACAGCACGCCTGGCCAATAAAAAGCTCAGAAATTACGCCATCGTCATATGTCCACGGAGCATCGTGTCAGTTTTCACAATAATATGACGTATTGATTCCTGAACGTCATTCTGTTCTTGCATTTACAGGTTGTATGGGATGCAATTGCGATCCTGATGGAAGTCAGAATCTTGTCTGTAACAAAGCAACAGGTCAATGTCCCTGCAGAATGAACTCAGTTGGCAAAACCTGCGATACTTGTCCAACCGGTTATTACGGCTTGAGGGCGCCACATCCCGAGGGCTGTCTAAAGTGTCATTGTTCTAACAAGACCAACAATTGTTCTACCGATGAGGGGTGGTTTAAGGCTGAGTTGAAGACCGAGCTGCTCACCACAGTGGACAATACAGACATGGGTGGTTGGCGCGTAGTTGCAGCTGATGGACAGATAGTGGAGAATGCTCGTTGGTCCTGGGATGCAAGTTATGCTCCAAGTTTGTCGCCACGGTTGTTGAAGTAAGTACTGTCTAGACCATTGCATGGTCTACCTGTGTTCCGTAAAAAATACAGTTATTCTTGTTTCTGCTACCTCTCGTGAGCGATAAATATTCCCACGACTCGATCCCTAATCCTAATGAGAAAATAGCAGTCCAGTCACGGGAATATTTATCATCGCTCGCGATCCGATGACTAGAAATGCACTCGGCCCATAATGCATTTTATTGACGATAGCCTAAACGCCAGGCATCTGGAGTCGGTTAGCTCGCAGAAACATGAAATGGGCTGTAAGACGGTGAAGCAGACACGTATTTGCCTTGAGCTAGCGCAGACCAAGATATTTACTAAGGTTCAAATTATGCGCCATGTCTGTGTCCACGATTGTCGAAGTAATTACTATCAAAATAATTGCTTGGGCAACCTGTGCTCTTTGAAATTAAGGCGGGAAAACAGAGGCGTCCGCACCTTGAGCTAACGCATGCGCAATTATTTTGACGGTACACCTACGAATAGAATAACAAAGATTTTATAACGATTTGTTTCTAGGGGTTTTATAAGAACTAAGGTTGAACAAGAGCAGTATTTCACTGCCCCGGATAATCACACCAAGCAAGGAAGATTCGCTTACACCTACAGCATGTCATTCAAACTACAACAGGACAATGTTACCAGTCCTGATAACTCGACCAAGGGGGATGTTATACTAAAGGGAACTGGATTCAGTCAGCCGATCGTATATCGATTACCATCACCACCGAATAAGTTATTTAAAATGTATACTGTAAGTAAGCCGATCGTATATCGATTACCATTTGCACCAAGTTGATTAATCCATTAGTCAGGCGATTGTATATCGATTACCATTTGTGCCAAGTAAATTATCTAAATCGTATACGGTATTCCAACCGATTGCATATCGATTTTCCACTGAGTGCATTAGTAAATTAGTCAGGTGATCGTTTATCGATTATCTTCACTATTTTTTTTTTWATTATTTTTTTAAATTGATTTATTTTTTATATTTTTATGATTAAAAAAAAAAATTATCATCACTACGCCCCTTGGTGTAATAAATGTTCGATGCTTGTTCTAAAACTTCCGAGTATACGCAGTAGATTTTACTACGGTGTTTATACCAACAATCCTGTCGTACCCACCACGTTTGAGGTGGTTTGATTGTAAAGCATCAGTCATAGGTTAGGGTTAAAATTTGTCAATTATTTTTTATTTTTTATTTTCCAGATTACCTTCTTGGAGACAGACCCCAATTGGCATGTAGGCAACAACCTTGGTCGTCGCCCAACGAGTGACGAACTAATGGCAGTACTGAGCACACTACAGTATCTGTACATAAGAGCCAAATGGACGACATACAATGATACGTTCACTCGTCTGGCTGATATCAGTATGGGATACAGTAATCAAAGCAGTAGCGGAGAAAAGGCCGAAAATGTGGAAACTTGTAAATGTCCTAAGGAGTATGTGGGTCAGTTCTGTGAGCAGTGTGCTCCAGGGTACACTAGGGTGATTCCTAATGGTGGTGCTTATGTGGATTGTGTACCATGCTCGTGTAATGGTCATACTGATCGCTGTCATCCTGAGTCTGGTGTGTGTCTGGGTTGTCAACACAATACTACAGGTGTGTTTTTGAATATCTGGGTCATTTTGAAGTTAGCGATAGCCACTTATTGAGATTTTTTGGGTTACCGAGGTTGGGTACATTTTGGATCATTTTGTCTTAAGGAGGGGTACCCTGCGAGATTTTTTGGGTTTCCAAGGCTGGATGCCTTCTGGGTCACTTTGTTGTAAAGAAGGGGTAACTAATGAGATTTTTATGGGTTACCAAGATTGGGAGCGTTTGGGTCACTTTGTTAGGGAGAGATACCTCAGTGAGATTTTTTGGGACACTAAGGTTGGGCACCTTCTGGGCCACGTGATCGTTAAGTAGGGGTACCTATCAAAATTTTTGATTTCAAAATTATAATTTGAGTCTGATTTGGAATGCGACAACATTCACCACCATCCATACATGTTTGACCAGTGAACCGATATAGGGCAATGGTGATTTGAGGTAAGATATGTGTGTCTGTCTTTCGTTGATTCCCTCTAATCACGTCACTTTCACAGGCGATCATTGTGAGCGTTGTAAGGATGGTCTCTATGGAAACGCCACCAATGGTACTCCCAGTGACTGCAAGCCATGTCCTTGTCCAGGAGGTCCTTTTGAAAAGAATCAGTTTTCACCCACTTGTTTCCTGGGCTCTGATGGTCAACCAACATGTAACAACTGTACCACAGGACATGGAGGTCGAAGATGTCAGAACTGTGTACATGGCTATTATGGTAGACCACAGGTAAGACAGGGAACGAATACATTAAAACAACATGTGTCCATTTTTTGCCATAAGATGAGAAGTTAAAGTGAGAGGTTAATCTATTGTGTCGTAACAATTTTTTTATTATTTTATTAAATTGGTGGAGAATTGTAATTTATTAGTGAACAGAGGTCGGTTGCTGACTTCATCTGCACGCGCACAGCAAACTTGGCAAAGAATTGGAGTTAAAAAAGCAACCAAAGCTACAACGGATTTTTTCTTTCTCCGTGCTTCGTTCAGTAATAAAGCACTAAGTAAGCACCTAAAATACTGAAGAAGTCACTCAGGTTCTCCCACAGGCAGCCCACGAGTTATATTAAGTAAATGACTTTGGAAGGCGATAAAAACTCCACGTATCGATAAGTTAACTTTTTAAACCGTTTTTACAATTTCATGTATTTAAAAAAAAATACTTATATTTGAGCTTCAAATACACTGCTTGGGCTGCCTATGGTTCTCTTCACTCGTGTTTCGTGCTACGTCACTTCCTGCGTGGTTTATTACTGAACAGAGCCAGAAAAGCCGTTTTATTTGTTAAAAATCTCAATTAAAAGACAAATACGATACTCTCTTAGGAACCCGATGGGGAGTGCGACGTGTGTAACTGTAATGATAACGTGGACCCTAACGTACCAGGAAACTGCAACACAACAACAGGACAATGCAATAACTGTGGTTATAACACCTCGGGGCATAACTGCGAGTGGTGTGCACCTGGTTTCTATGGAAACGCGCTGAACAGGACCTGTACACGTAAGTTGTGTACCAAATAAAGTAGATCATTATGTTTATGTGACCCCAATCCTTTGTGCTCTCTTAGTTACACGACCAAGACAACTTCCTCGATCATCAAATTACTTATTAGGCATTTGATTTTTTTTAAGGAAATTAAGAATTCAGGCATTTTCTGCTAGTCAGCTTAGAACAGTTTCAATGTGCCGTGACCGTGATACTTTCTAGAATTTTAATTAGCTGATTTTTTCACGCGCAATATGATTGGGCTAAAAGTGCAGTGATCTTGACGTGACCGTGTCCGCGCCGTGTTTATGCCGTGTTCCGGGTATTTGATTGGATGGAGAGTAAATTCTCGTGCAATGTGATTGGTCTGGCGTATCCCTTGCCGTGTCACGACCGTGTTCGTTCCGTGAACTTTTCACAGTCATACGAAAGCTGCACTATCACTCGGCGTAAGATCACTTTTTGTCATATAATTACCGTGAATAGACGTGAACCTGCCTTGACTTTCCTATCTTAACTACATCAAAACTACATACATTTGATTATCGCGCCAAGTAGTATCGTTTAGACACTTCAATCTTAAATAGAAAAACAATTAAATTTTACAACCGTCACTCCACGTACTAGGGGCTTTTCTGTGCGGTTCGCTCCACGCACAACATTCAACTGCACCCGTCTGTTTCCTTCGTTAGGTTGTCCATGCAATAGCGACGGAACAATATCTGGTGTTCCATGTGACAATATCACCGGCCAATGCGCATGTCACAAGAACGTCATTGGCAAATTATGTGATCGGTGTAAGCCAAACACCTTTAACCACTCCAGTGGGGTCGGGTGCTCTGAATGTAACTGTCACCTTGAAGGAGCTGTGAAACAGCAGTGTAATCTGGTAAGGTGTTGCGATTTTTTATGCTGTTCATCATTTTTCTCTCTTTCTTCCTTTCTTTCTTTACCCTTTCCTTTCTTTTAATTATTTAGTTTTTTTTCTCTTCTCTCCCATTCTATTTCCCTTCCCTTTCCCTTGTTTCTGTTTTTTCTTTTTCCTTTTTCACCTTTTTTTCATTTTACTTTTATTCCGTTCCCTTGCTCTCTCTTCTCTTTCCTTTCGCTTTCGTCCCTTCATTTTTCATTCCGTTGTATTTTTTTGCCCTTTCTTTAGACAACTGGCATTTGTGATTGCTATCCCAATGTCACCGGTGATCAATGCAATAAATGCAAGCTGAACTACTACGATGTAACACGACGATGCGTGGGTAAGTACGCCACTGAGTCATTCCCTTGAGTATGACATTACTCAAGCCCCATCCACATATTCGGAATATTTTTGAAAACGGATTTTTTTAATCCGTTCCCCAAAAAAAAATATCGTAGCGCATTCATCGAATGCGTGTGGAAAGGAGGCCAATCCACAAAGAAAAAAGATTATCCAGACACGTATGGATTAGGACTCAGTTTGACTTTCTTGTTGCGTTGCGTTACAGCTTGTGACTGTCACGCCAACTACACCAATTCTACGTATTTAACTAATACTACCTCTTGGTGTGACGGAGAAACTGGTCAGTGTCAATGTAAAAAGAGTGAAAGTACTGGGATGTATGGTGGACGACAATGTAACCAATGCGAGGAACACAGCTATGGTAAGCTACGATTATATACTAACCAGTAGAAACAGCAATAATAATATTGATATTGATATAATGATATTGTGATGATGATGATGAAAGGAGTGGTAATGATTATTGTGATGATGATGATGAAAGGAGTGGTAATGATTATTGTGATGATGATGATGAAAG